GCAGTTTGAAATTCCACCACTAGAGATTCACTTCTTGGGTTAAAGGTGCAGGGAAAGCACGTTCCCCTGGGAAGGTGTGTGGCAAGCTCCTGGCCCGTGAGCTGTGAGGACTCTGGGGAGTGTTGCTGTGTCCAGCACAGGAGGGAATGGCCAGGGGCAGATGAGGAGCTATTGAAGGGAGTGGGGGCCAGGAGCCCCAGTCATGGCCTCCCCCTGCTGCAGGACTGAGGCTGTGGGGGCAGGACCAGGCAGATCCCCACCACCACTGCACACACAGCCCCCAGCCTGGGGTTGGGGGCCTGGCCCTCTTCACCCCCATGGTGGGCAAAGGCCCTGCCTTGCCCTTGGAAATGGACAACAGGAGGCCTCCAGGTCCTGCCTGGATCTGAGCCCCACGGAGGGGACAGCAAGGAGGTACATGGAGCTCAGAGCCTCCCGGCTGCCCTGTCGTTGCCATCGGAGCCACAGTCGTGGGCACTCCAGTGGTGGGCGGGGTGCGAGGGGGCCGCCCCTGGGCCTCCCCCAGGCAGGAGTCATCTGAGTTCAGCCTCTCCAAGAGGACAGCTGAGAATGTGGACTATTTATACCGGCCGGGGCGGGCGGGCAGCTGGGGAGACACGCAGCCCCGTCGCCATATGTGGGCATGACCAACATTGCGCAGGCCTGCCAGGGGGACACGGGCCCAAAACAGGGCGTCTGTCCTGGGTGTCCTTCAGCTCCAAAGGTCCCCTCTGAGCCCCCCCGTGACAGGTTCCAGGGACAGCTGCCTTCTCCCCTCTCTGCTGTTAAAAATACTCTGGGTCCCTGTCCCTCCCATCCCACAACCGTCCTCCCCACACCGGCACACACACACGCACACGCCTGCCTCCACTCCAGCCATCGTCACTGGCTCCCTCCATGCTAGAGGTTTGACCCTATGGGGGGACACCAGCCTGTCAACCACCAGGGCCTCTGGGCACCACCCCGGGTGGGGAAAAGCCAGGGCCCTCTTCCCAGCACATGCACAACGGGGCCTTCTCTCCTTTTCCTCCTGGGCTGGACACGGGGGCCTGGAAGGTGCCTCTGTGCCCATGTCACTGGCCCTCCCGGTCACAGGCACCCAGTTGACTGCCCCCTTAGCGCAGGAAGCAGACCTGCCTGGGACTTAGTTGGGCCTCTGAAAATCTGGGCGGATGACCGATCCCCAGCACCCCGGGGAGCCGGCGCCTTTGCAGGACCCGCCACCCTGAGTGTCTTCGCCTAGGGAGCAGCTGCTGGGCTGTCAGGGTGGCCCTCTCGTCCCTGCCCTTGAGATGCACTGCCTACATGCTGCCTGCGCTGTGCCTGCACTGCAGGCCCCAGCAGCAGCTCTGCAGCAGCCTGCACAGCTCCCCACCCTCTGCTGCAGCCGCAGCCCCTCCCGCTCGGCAGCTAGGCCTTCCCGGGGTCAGAGCCGGCCTGGAACTCTGAGTACTCAAGGCGGTGCCCATCGGGCACCCAGGAACACAGCCCAGGGGCAGCTCCACACCCTGGCCAGCTGGGTCCAGGGTTTTGCAGGGCAGTAGAAGAGGCCCAGAGCAGGACACAGGTGAAGCAGACAGCAGGAGCTTCTGGGAGCTGTTGACACGGTGCTGCAGGCCCCGTGCCTTCCACAAAGTCCCACCGGCCTCTTCCCACCCAGGAGGCCGGCTGCTGGAGGGCCAAGGACGGTGGGCAAGGCCGGCCAGCGTCCCTCAGAAAGCCACGTGCTCCCGCCCCAAGCCTCTCTCTGGGGGCCACACTGCACCCAGGCCTGGCCACCCCAGGGATCAGTGGACATCAAAGGCAGGGAGCAGGGCTGCAGTGAGTGGGGAGGCTGTCTGCAAGCGGATGCGCGGCCAGCCGGCCAGCTGAGCAGGGCTGAGTCAGCATGAAGCTCCTCAGACCGAGGACGCGGTTGCCCTTTAGCTAAGGGGCAGCAAGCAAGGCAACATGTGGCCCCGCCCACTTGCCCCACTGGCCCTGCCCACGGCCCCACCCTCTGCCCCACAAACCCCTCCCCGCCCCGTCTTCCCAGCCAAGCCCTGGCCCTAAAGGTTCCCGGGGTTCCTTCATTTTCAACTAGGGCATTTTCGGGGGTAAAAATTTGCAATTGAAGCGATGTTCACTTTGATTGACTCAGCTGCACCAGTTAAAACATCCCTCCTGCGGGTCAATCTAATCACACTTAACAGCAGCTTGTTCTTCGATGCAACATTTGTCACGTGAGGTCGACAGTTTTAAAAGAGATTGCTAATGCCCCCTCAAAGATGCTTTCTCCAGCGCCCCTCTCCCGCTTTGAAACGCCTGTGCAATAAATGCTTCTGTGCACTTGATGAAGGCACCATCCAACCCAAGTCACAAGCAGCCCGCTGTGGAAGCAGGGGACACAATAGCCACAGAAATAAAGAACCACTGCCGTCTGCACAGACGCACACACATGCAGCACGGCGGAGCCACCCCCTCCTGACCCCACTCCCTCTCAGAGCCGGGTGCCCTCCAGTGCAGAAGTTTCGTTCGAAGCGTCACTAGATTTTGTGAGCTGCAGCCTAGAAAAATTTAACTAATTTGGCCCACTGAATTTATGAGCTCAATTCTCGGAGCTACGGTCTCCGCCAGCGGAACCTGGGGCCTGCCCTCAGACTGCTGTGGGGTGTTCTGGGAACCCCAGGAGCCTCCCATGGGGCCGCCCCACTTCGAGAGCTCAGAGAAAGGGGCACTGGCCGCCTTGCCAGACCTGAGGTTCTCCTCGCAGCCACACCAAAACCAAACCACCTGGGTCCCTGAGTTGGCCAGCAAGCCCCAAGAGGGTGGGGCAGATGCCGTTTGACCCCACCGGGCACACCCAAGGCTCCTTTCCCTCTTGGGGGGGGGGGGTTCCCCGAGCCCCCAGCAGGACATGGGTAGCACCATCCATAAAAGCCCCTCTGGGCAGAGCTGTCACTGCCCACCTGCCCCTCCCCTCCCAAAGACCCCTCAGAGAGCATCTCTGGGAAGCAGCAGGCCAAGGGGTGCACACAAGGAAGGGGCTCTGGCTCCTGCGGGGAGGCACCTCCATGGTGCCCGATCTTAACTGGGCAGATCACGGACCCCAAGGAGATTTACAGCCAGGAGGCCGCGGCTCTCTCCCTGCGAACTCTCTAGTTTCACTGCTCAGTCAAACCTAATTCCAAAACACCAATGCTTTTATTTAAACACCACATCCTGCAATAAAGCCCTAATGGACGGTGGGACGCGTCCAGGGGGAGGGCGGCGTGTCTGCGGCCGCCTCGGTGGCCACTCGCCCAGCTACTTCCCTCCCTGCGGCCGGAGCTGGAAGCAAGCAGGGCGGAGATGACCTTCCCAGGGACTCTGGACACTGACCCCTCCAGGCCTGGTGGCTAGCAGGACGGCAGTGCCCAAGGACGACCCTGCCTCCCAGGGTGGATGCCGGCGGAGCCAGAGGCTGTGAGCCTTGAAAATTGGGAAGGAGCCTGGACTGCCGAGCCCACCTCGAGCCTCCACTGCAGTCGACTCCTGGGAAGCGAGAGCCACGTGCGAGCTGGGAGCTGCCCACGTCTCCTTGTCCCCAGGCTCCCTGGCAGGGCCTCAGTGGCTCAGGGGACCTGGCTGCCCCCAGACCCAACACTTCCAGCAGCTGGAGGAGGGGGCCTGCTCACTCACCTCTCCCTGTCCCACCCCCCCACCCAAGAACCAAATTCCTGCCAAAGGTCACGGCGCGGGAGGGGCTGGGGCACCTGCCACAGGTCCCGGGCAGCAATCCCAGGGACACTGGAAAAGCAGAGATGACACACTCATTGAAAAATAGCCCTGAGCCCATGGAGGACGTGCCCTGGGCAGGGACGCTGGCCTCACCCCAGGCTGCAGACGCCTCCAGTCTGGGAGCCGGAACCTGCACCCGGGTGACACCCCTCCCACAGCCCCCGGAACCCTCTGTGATTCGCCTCCCTGGAGAAGGGCCATCGCAGCGGAGACGGGCATCACAGCCCCATGCAGCATCTGTCCTCATCTCCTGGGCAGTCACAGCCCAGCCATGGGACCCACAGGATGACACTCCAGCCCCTTTCCTGACCAGGACCAGGCTGGCAGCAAAGCAGGAGGAGGGGGCCCTGGTCACAGGTGCTGATGTCCACACCAAGCTGGCCAGCAGCCGTCACCATCCTTCACAGTGAAAGTGCTTTGGCTGGAGTCAGTGTAAACAGAGGCCAGCAGCGTTGGGGCCTTGGCAGGACGAGCAGGGAGACGTGGCGAAACCCCACAGGCCCCCAGGTGGGCTCAGGGCCGCTGGGCTCAGCCCTTTTGTCTCAATCATCATAGACGCCCGAGCTGCCCTCGGAGTACTGGGCTCAGGCGTCTCAGAGGAGGGAGCGGGTTCTGGGCCTGCAGGTGCCTCTGCCCTGCAGGGGGGCTGCCGCCCTCGGCCTGACCCCCAGGAGGCCGAGCCACATGGTACTCTTGCCTCAGCCTCGCAGTGCGGCCACGGACAGCAAAGGCGAAAGCCAGAGAGGCATCTTTCCCTCAAAAATCATTTCACACGTGGCCACAGGGTCCCTGCCTCTTTCCCTCCCTTGGCCAGCTGGCCGCCCTTTTGGGGAACATGCTGCTTTTCTCTGAGCAATTTCTGCCTCGTCACGCAAACAGCCCTTTCTGCTGGCAATGACCCCTTTAGGGGGGGCAAGAAGTGACACCCCCAGAGCCACGGCCACCCTGCGTGCCCAAGCCAAGGCCCCCACGCCCCTCACCGGACCCCACGGCCGCCACAGGGCCGCCTGCCCTCTGCCGCAGTCAGCACGTTGAATATTTAATGTCTGATGAACGCTTCCACCTGCTGACACAGGCAAAGTGACAGAACAATACCAGCAGGGGACAGGGCCATCCACCGACACCCAGGCAGCCTGCCACCCAGGCCTCACCCCAGCCACAGCTGCCCGTCTGTCTCTCTGTGCCCCTGGGTGGCCCCGTGGGTGCAGACTGCCCCCTTACTCCAGCGAGAGAGTTCCCGACCTGAAATACATACTTCTTTACATTCCATAGCTTAGCAGGTCCATATGGGCATATAAAGAAGTATGTTTCCCAAGCAGGTAGTTCTGTACGCAGCTCTGTGGGCTCACAGAAGGGGCCCACTGAGGCCATGGGATTTCTACCCGGATCCACAGCCTGGAGCCTTCCTTGTGCTTGGGGCCAGCACACCCTGTCCTCCAGCTCTGACCATTATCGGGGCTCCGCGGCCTCTGCCCCCTTGTGACCTCGACACCCCACTCTCTGTCTCACACACACACACACACACACACAGAGTCAGGAAGGACAGAGGCAGGCATTGTGCTCCGGAAAGTCTCAAGAAGCCCTTCACTCGCCCCAACAGTCATGCAGTTTTGCATCAATGGAACCATAAGGGATCCAGGCTGCTACCTCCCATCCTTGCCCCAGAGAAGGGATGCGCCGTTCCCTCTCAGACGGTATCCGACCCTCAGCCGGCACCCTCCCTCTCCCTCTGGGCATCGTCATCCCAGCCCAGTGTACAGGGAGGGCTGAGCAAAGAGAGAGCAGCTAGGGAGGACCCCCACTATAAGTGGTCAGGGAGCAGGGTGCCAGAACCAGCAGGAGCCTGGCACCCCTCACCGCAGGCCCGGACTGGGAAGGCAGCGCCAGGAGACACAAGAAATGGGCAGGCCTTACCTGGGCAGCGGGGCAGCATCCCAGGTAGCTTCCTGGTGATTCTGCATCTCAGAAACCTGCATCCTCAGGACAGGGCTCGGAGCCTCTGTCTTTGAAGATGTGCATGAGAAGGACAGTTGCAGGTGGACCCTGCATCCCTACAGGGCAGCGGGGAGCTGCTGGGAGGTGGCCCATGCCGCGGCCAGCTCCCTCGGCGCCTTAGCCTGGCCACAGAGCGGATGCCCAGCCCAGCGAGGGACTGGAGCCGGCTCCTGCTTCCCCCCTCTGGCTGCCTCCTCTCTGGCTACCTCCATTCCTCCCCCCTCCCTCTCTTCTTCACCCTCTCTCTCCCCTTCTCCACTCCTGACACGTCACCGCTTCTGCCTCGGCCTGACTAAAAACGATGCTTGCGCGAGCAGGCAGTTCACACAGGCGCCCAGGGGCCAGCAGGACACTGCCGCCGACTTGGCGACGCAGCTGAGGCACCCAGGGTGGCCAGTCCTCACCTGGCTCTTTGTGGCCTGCACCCAGCGTCCACCAGGCCCGATCAATACCAATTTACAGTCAAACGCAGGGGCCGCCTTCCTGTTAATGAATTTCCCCTGTGCTCACCAGCTTCTAATGAACCCGTTAAAGAGGGTTTAAGTAAACTTAGCAAGCGGCAAACTAAGCACTTTGGAATACTTAATTGTATCGATATTTTTCCACCGCATTTCAAAATTTCTCTGTGATGGAGAAGTAGAGGTCCCTCTTTCCCATCAACTTCAGTGGCCACCATGAAGCCGGGAGTTTGAAAACTACAGAGAATCCCAAGGAGAGGCATGGAACCTCCAGGTCAGGTCCCCACCGAAGGAAGGGAAGCCACCCCAGCCCAGCCCGGCACTGGGAGGAGACAGAAACCCACAGGGTGCCAGGAGCAGCCTGGGATGGAGGCCTCACCTTCGCCAAGATGAGGCCAGCAGGTGAGGTGGTGGGACTGGCAGGAGGGTGCCACTGTGGCAGGCTGCCTGCAGCGGGAGAGAGCAGGGGAGACACTCACTGGGGGTGGGGAGCCGGGGGGTGCAGACACAGAGAGTCTGCCGGCTGGGCCCTGGTTCCCGGGGTGGCTGGGAGCTGACCCTGGCCTGGGCACGAGGTCCCGGGCCTGAACACACGTCCAGTTCTCCCTCCATCAGCAAGACGACATCCAGGTGACCCTGCCCGCCCCTCCCCAGCGGGCAGCTTGCCTGTCCCCACGCAGATGGGCCCAGAGAGGGTGTCTGGACACTACCGTCCCCCAGGGCAGGGCAGTGTCCCTGCAGAGCCTGCATTGTGCCGAGGCAACTAAGCAATTTCTCAAGTCTGTGGGCTGTGGCATCCGTGCCGGGCAGGGCTGGGCCAGAGCTTTCCATGGGGGAGGGCAGAATCAGGGCTTGGAGACGGACCCCTCCCTCTGAAAGGAAAGAGCTGCCCACAGAAAGATACCGAGGAGCCATGTCCCATTTCCCTGTGGCTGCCGTTCTTTATCATCTTCGTGTGGCCAAGGATAAAAAAGGGCAGCGAGATGGCAGCTCGGCCCCACTTCTCCTCATCCCTGGAGTGTGCCCTCCGCGGGAACCTCGTGCAGTGATGGGAGTATGACGTCTAAATTTCCCGCTGCCCTCTGACAAACGAGACCTCAGAGGCTGTATGACGGCCACTGCTCAGGCCCCTGCCTCCCATTCATCTGGATGGTGTCTACAGGTCAGGGGAAAGCTGGGGGCCCCAAAGGGCAGGAGAGTCACCTCAGGGCCAGCCAGAGCCCCTGTGAGCTTCTGTCCACTCACAAATGAACCACAGCCACTTCTCAAAAAGTTTCCTGCCTTGACAGGAAAGAAGCACCAGCCACCTCCAAGGGGACCCCACAGCGGGCAGGAGCTGGCGCCGTGCCCTGGGCCTCGCTCATCCAGTGCCCTTTGGCTGGATCTCTCCCCAGCCCTGCAGTCCTGTGGGGGTCATACTCCCTTGCAGAGACCACCAGGCCGCTCCCCGCTCAAGCCCCCAGTCCCCACCCACGTGCGCCCCCGCTGTGCACGCCCAGCGCGGGGACCCTCCCGTCGCTGACAGGGCTGCAAGAGCCGCAGAAGTCCAGAGTCCCAGGCTGGGGCAGCCTCGCTGCGGAGATCCCAGCCCCACACCTCTGCCGGTAGTACTGCAAGTTCCCCGGTAAGTTTAGCCACATTCCCATCCGCTCTGTGCTCTGTTGCAGGGGGTGCAGGTTAATTGCGCCCGCGGCCCCCACCCCGGCACCACGACCCTTGCCCCGCGGCGTCTGGAGGGGGCCGAATCCTTGCAAAATGCCCGATCGTCAAAGTTCGTGCATCCCAGCTGGACGCGCCCTCCCGGCCCTGCTGGCTGCTGGCTCTGCAGTTTTCCAAATGCGGACGATGCCACGAGCTGGGAGAAAACTCCAAAGCACCCCCCGCCGGAGCCACGCGGTGCCGGTACCACGGCTCCCACTGTGCCGGCAGGCACACCCCCACCGCTGCGGCCGGCAAGTTTTCGGGGGCCGGCTGGGGAGGCTGAGAAGGACTCACCGGGGAGCCCCTCCAGCCAGGCTGGCGACAGTGGCGGCGGGCGCAGGGTCGCGGCTCCCGGGTACGATGCGCCCTGTGCGGCTCCCAGGGAGATGCTGCAGCCGCGGCAGCGCCATCCACCTTCTCCGGGAGCCAATCGCGAATGCAGGGGTGGGGGAGGCCAGAGCTCCTGATGCGTCCGCACTTGGTGGGGGGGGAGGCAGAGAGAAAGAAGACACCAGGCACCCCCTCTCCGCACCCCTGCCCTTCCCCCAGCCCTCCTGCAGCAGCGCAGACTTAGCAGGGAGGGAGAGAGAGGAGAGAGAGAGAGAGAAAGAGAGAGAGAGAGGAGAGACAGAGAGACGCAGGAGTGAGGGCGATGCAGAGTTAAGGAGAAGCGACCTCGCAGCCCGCACACCTTGAGCCCCTCCCTGCCCTGGGCTGTGTCTGCAGGACGCTCCTGCACCCCCAGCCGGGGTCAGCGCAAGGTAGAGGTCAGGGTGGAAGGAGAGGGGAGGGTCCCTGGGGTGTGCAGGCTCACAAATGCACACAACCCGGCTCAAAGACACACGCAGGCAGGGGGAGGGCAGGGGAGGGGAGGGGAGGGCTGACCCGAGGGGCCGGAGCAGGCGTGGGGGCCCCCCTCGGATCAGGAGCCGGCCTCAACTTTACAGTCCTTATATACCCCGCCAAGCATCCCAAACACGCGGCCGGGCCAAGTGGCCCCTCGGGCTGTGCTCCCTGACCATATTTAGTCAAGCAGGGAAAAAATAGCCTGTCAGCTGGGCCGAGGCTGGCCGGCCACCGGGAACAGGGTGGGAGCGCCAGCGCCATTGACGGCCGGTCCTGGGCCCAGGCTGTCGTCCGCTGCCCCCTCCGGGCCCCTCCCCACGGGCCTCCCACCGGCTGTCCCTGCCCTGCCGTCCCCCTGCTATTTTTAGCCCAGCCCGGTACACAGGCGCCTCCCAGCAGCCGGGCAGCAACCTCTCAGGCCGTGCAGCCAGTTCCTAGGGGTGCCCTGGGGAGGCCTGGGTGGCTCCCAGCGCGCAGGCCGGGCAGGGAGAAGGGCTGCCCCCTCCCTGCTCTTGGCCCCCAGCGGGCCGGGCCCCACCCAGGCCTCCCAGAGCCCCACTGGGGGACCCCCGCTTTGCCCTTTTGCCCAGATTCGGGGCCCAGATCAGGGGGTGATGATTTGGTTTCTGGGGGCCCCCGTGCCAGCCCGGAGTAACGGCGATGCAGGTCACCTTGGACAGCGAGCCAGTCCCTGTGCTTGCCACACTCTACCTAGTCCTGCAGCCAGGGGTACGCGTGAGGGGGAGACCCCGAGTCCACGTGCTGGTTCCACTCGGAGCGCCCCCATCCTAGGTTCACGCTTGAATGACGTCATGGGCGTGTGCCGGGCACGGCCTGCAGGGGCCTGTCCTTGCAGGGCCTGGATGTGGAGGCCAAATGTTCCCCACAACTGTGAGCTAGGAAGGTCTCCTCGCCTCTCTGGGGTCCCCTAGGACGTGGGCTAGGACGTGGGGTGGACCCCCTTCCCTGAAGGCCAGGCGTGGGGCCCACACGGGGTGGGAGGCAGCCAGCTTCACTGTGTCAAGTCCTGTCCAGAGTATAGGCAGCCAGAAGCCCTGTTGTTCGGGAAAGCCACTCACAAACCTCGGCACCGCCGTGCCTACAGGCCTGGCCCAGCCTGCTGTGGGACAGGCGTCCATGCTCTCGGATCAAGCTCCCCGTGCCTGGTCCCCCCATGACGCCCCAGCTCAGGCCCCGGAGGTGCAGGGTCCAAGCCTTGGGTCACGGGGTATGCTAGGGGGACTCTCTGTGGATCGCCCCCTGGGATCCGGCCCACCCCCCACACAGGAGAGGGAAGGATGGAAGCACAGGAAGCAG